GAAAAAAAACATTTGAAAAATCATGCGAAGTACAGTATATCTTAGAACAACTGTGTTACTTTACATTCATTATATACTGAAACAAACACAATTTTAATTTCTTCATCTTCAACATTTGTATGTATACTGAATAAATAACACAAGCTCAAGCTTTGTAAGGTAGAAGCTGATCTTTTCTCTGATATGTTCCTTTCCCAAAATATAACAAATGTCATTAGGTACAATGTGACACATCATGCTATAAAGCAGCCATGAAGATAAGATGTCTAAAATAATGCATTTCCAACATTGTTTTCTGTAAAGATCCCTCACTTTCCCTACAACATGGGGTTTAAAGATACACTGGTTTCACCATGACAATAAATATACAAAGCTTAGTGATTATCTCTTGGAGATAGTTATATAATTAATAACTCCCAGTTATTAATTAATTTTATTTTTAATTCATTTTAATTAATGAACTCCCAGTGCTTGGCATGATGTTATGATGTGGAATACTGATAACAAAAAATCATAAAACCATGGCATATATAATAGATTATGATTAGAATAGTATTAGCATTTAAGAAAGAAAACATGTACAAAGTGAATAAAAAGCTCAAAGGATTGTAAGATATCATTACACTGCCTTATTGTGAAAAATATTGTGAAAAATTAAGTAATATGTATTTTTTCCCCAGTGTTTAAATATAGCAAAAGACTTCAGAATAAGTTGTAAATAATCACTGGTACAATTAATTTCATCATAATAAATACTCACGGGATGTTATGGCTGCAGTTGGGAACACCTGGCTACAAAATTGAAGTTTGCTCCTTATACAATCATCATAATTTCTTACATAGGATTTCAAACAGCCTCGTCACGTATTTATTGTTTACTCTAACATATGATTTTGCTATCCACCTTAGCATAAAAAAAAAAAAATGCAAGGAGCTTCTACATTCATTTTTAATATGAAACAATTTTTACAAAATTCTGAATGTTTCTACTATACCGTAGATGTTTAATGCATACTTCTGAGTGAAAGTTCTGCGTAATTTTATAGCTCACACAGAAGTAGTCATTCAGTTTTATCTTCACTCTGAAAGGAAGTTATTATCTCCTTCATAAGCATAGTATGCTTCTTAAGTGCTGAATTTTTGTCTCCATTTTATATATGGATTCAAAATGTAGTGTAATTATAGTGCTCCACAGTGTGCATATGGGTTCACACAGATCTTGAAGGACACAAAATATATTTTAGACTGTATTAGCTGAAGAAGAGCACTGCTGTAATTTTTTGTTCATCTAACAGCTTTTACCATCCCTGAAATGCTTACCCCAGTTAGGTAGGGCTAACACTGCATGAAGAACCCTGATGGAGCCATTTCCTAGTTTCTTTTAAACATTAATCTTCACAGTTTCAAAGTTCCACTGACACAGTGTTTCATTGAAATTTTCAGATATTTTAAAAACAAAACTGGTTTAAAAATAAAAATTAAAAAAAGCAACTAAAAACCTGAAATTCTAAAATATGAAATGCAAAATTGACTGGAAACCTGCTGAAATGTCCTACTGCTAAGAAATGTGCAAGAAATGAGACATTAAACTTCTTCTGTGTTTCTCTACTAAGATACATTTTTAAGGACTAAACAACTCTTACTGCTTGTTCTGGTGGGATATACTACTACTATCATCAGTCTTAAATGTATAGCATGTTTTTAATTTCAGGAGATACTTTTGAAACAGAGCAAAGAGGTAGCATTTTGACACAGTATGTGCAATAACAATTCAGGGCATTTATAAATAAATATGTGAGTAGCTGTTTCTTTTGGGGATCTCTAATTCTCACAATGCTTTGAAATATATAACTTGAGAGATTTGCATATATTTAAGTAATTGTTTAACAGCATGTATGTACAGTGCTTTAGTTTGAGAGGAATTACATCATCCTGTTGCCTATTTTTTTTTTTTTTTTTTTTTTTTTGTATGGAATAGTATTGCCTTATTAATACAATAGAGTCGAATTCAGTGGAATTATTGGAGTGGAAAATTCAGCGTCAGCCAGAGAAATAATCTTTTTTTTTTTTTTTTTTTTGGCTTCAGTGTACACTGAAATTAGTGTTTTTGGTTACAGATGTGTCACAAAGAGTATTAAAAAAAACAAGTCTGATGAAACTTTTTCTTTGCCTTCCAAAATAAACAATAACCTGTCAGCAAACTCAGACCTTGTAGTCAGGCATTTTGTTGTCAAGGGAATCAGTGCCTGCTCCCTGTTTTTCTGCCCAAATTAGCCATGTTTCTGGCACAAATCCCTGCACAACTCTCCATCTCCTCAAGGGTTAGGCACAGTTCACATTATTTAACAGTTTTTACATGTAACATCCTCTAGCTTACAGTGGATACATCAAAGCCATGGTAGAGACACTGACTAAAAGGGGTATGTTTTAGCCAGGAAACTGAATTTTGGAGTGGCCAATGATTTTAACACATTTCTGAGACACAATTTTTACTGACACACTCAGAAATCAGACAGGGCATTATAAACATGTTCTTACTACAGGCCTTCCCCACTCCTTTATCCTTACAATTTCAAACCGATGAAGTCCTATTACTGGCTATCATGTCACTAGGTTTAAAATTATTTACAGTTAAGAAAAAATGCAATTTTCTCATGAAATCATAATTTCACCATGTTAACTTTTTACTTGTATAAACTTGTATTTACATTGTAATTTTTTATTCAAATAATTTTTAGAAAGCAATTTTTAAAAAGGAGAAACATAATTTTTGTAGCTTCAAGATCACTGAATACGTTACAAACTCAAGTGTGGTCTGATAGTGACTTAATAACTTGAGTGATTGGAATCTGGAAAAGAAAAAAACAAAAAACCTGAAAGCTAGGTATAACAGTAACATTGTGCTAGAGTGTTTTTCTAATATCAAATCAAACCCAGAAAAGGATGTGCTATGGATAAACTCTTTTCCATTTTTTTTTTTCTTGTATATTCTGCGATCCTGACAGTAACTTCAAACTGCTTCTTCATATGAATGACTGGACACAAATCTCATGTGTGCACCAGCATGTCTTCGATATTATTTTACTGATTCCACGTAGAGAGCACTGACATGTAAACAGACATTTTCATGTGATCTAACCCTCCATAACTGATCAGTAAGTCTGTGGAAAAAAAGGCGTCTGACAGAGCATCTGTCCAACAGTATTTAACATCTTTGAAAAGCTGGACAGGAGCCAGCAGTGTGCTCTTGCAGTCTGGAAGGCCAACTGCATCCAGAGCTGCATCCACAGAGGGGTGGCCAGCAGGGTGAGGGAGGTGATTATCCCCCATCCACTCTCCCCTTACGAGGCCCCATCTGGATTACTGAGTCCAGGCCTGTGGCACCCAGCACAGGAAGGATGTGGAGCTCTTGGAGTGGGTCCAGTGAAGATGATTACAGAGCTGGAGCACCTCTCCTATGAAGAAAGTTTGAGAGTGGTGAGGCATTGGAACGTGTTGCCCAGGTCAACCCTGTGGATGCCCCATACTTGGAGGTGTTCAAGGCCAGGTGTTATGGGGCTCTGGGTGGCTTGCTCTGGTGGGGAATGGCCCTGCCCACATCAGGGGGTTGGAACTAGATGACCTATAAGGACTCTTCCAGCCTAACCCATTCTATGCCTACATGATCTTCAGCAAAGACCAAACCAAGGGTGCAGAATGCAAGCCACAGATGACGTCAAACCTGGGGGGATAGCAGATACTTTGGAGTGCTGAGTTTTCTTTTGGAAGAACCTGGTGAGCCAGAGAATGGACAACAGTTATCAAATTAATAAATTTCAACAAAGGCACAACCAAAATCGAGCTGAATGCAATTCTGTAGAAAAAGATGGGGTAAAGGAAGGTGATTTGTCCCCTCTACTCAATACTCATGGGAAAGCACTTGAAACATGCTGTCCAGTTTGGAACATCCCAGTGCATGAGAGGGATGGCCAAGCTGGAGCAAGTCCAGTGGAAGACCAGGGACTTTGCGCCTTATTTTTTCAGCTTGGAGAAGACAGGGAGAAACTCTAATTTGTCATCTACAATTATGCATGTTTGGTTAGAGTGAAGAGTCTTCTTAAGGGTTGGTGAGAGGACAAAGGGAAATGGTTGCAAGCTACATCAAGGGAAATCCCAGCTATGACTGATGAGCTGCTGAACTGTGTCCTTGGAAATCTCAAAACATACCTAGACAAGAAGCGATACACCCTGCCTTGAGAGGATCCCAAGATTTTTCTTCAACTTAATTTGCTCTATGACTCTATGGGTCATGAATGTAAATGGTAAAAGCATATCATACTTCCGCTAACAATATGTCCTCAAAGTGCTGAGGCCCTCCCACTTTTTTTTTGTGATTTGTATTACACACTTTGTACTGATATAAATGTATCCCTCTGAGATTTACCATTTTAGAGTTACATTGTATCAAACCTCCATTAGAACTTTTAAAGGATTGCTGTTTTAAGTACTTATGCGTTGCTTGGATTTTCTTTATGGAACATAAGATTTTAAAATATATATTGATATTGTACATTTAAAACTGTATTTCCATCTCAGACTCAACAAAGTTAACAAAACACACACACACACATAACACACATGCAGCAGCTAAAGAAAAGCTTTCCTCAGACAAATTTTCATTTTGATAGAACTTCACACAGGCCATAAACAAAACCTTATATAGTGTACACAAAAGTTCTGTGTGTGCAGTAAGGCAGGCATACAAAGCAGTAAAAAGTACATCATCATTCACCACGTTACATTAAAAAGATAGCTGAACAGATAAAATCAGTGTTGCCTCTCTAAAGCAATTGTCTCAAATTGTACGTGGGTTATTTCAACTCCAAGTCAGATCCCATCTTTGCTTTATAAAGGCAAAAGACATTGTCAAAACAACCTGAACAGAGAATGAAACTTTTCCTCTCTGAAATTGTAGTACCACCACAGTGTTTATTATCTGTAAGTCAGAAAATTTAGCCATCTCTTTGCTTCTATGGAGTAAGACGTGAGAAAGTTCAGTGTTTTATCCATATCAACGAATACTTCTTGTATATTATATTTGAATGCTTATACACATGATGCTTAATGAATAGGAACACACACAAATCATCACCATTGTTTTGTTTCTGAATTATCTTTCAAAGGTCAGGAGCTTCATTTGGCAAAGGTACAATACAAAGGACCAGCCTGGTTTTCCTTCATACCAGTTTCATGAATGTTTGCTACAAATGCAACTTCATTACCTTAAATACCTATTAGCTTTATCAAGAAAAAGCTGTGATAAAGCTCATTGTGCTTTGTTTTCCAGAAGTTTCGTTCATTTCATACAGCTGAAGAGCCAGCAAACAGGACTTTCTAAAGTTCACACATGTGTACTGTTGGTAGATGGTGGTGTATCTATCCGACTCTTATTTTCTTTAGCATCATTCAGAGGTGATTCGTTACCTATCTGGCATTTGAAAACTTGTTTGTAGGCCTTTCTAAAATTTTCAGAGAGAAATGCATATATAATTGGGTTTACAGAAGAATTGCTGTAAGCCAGGCAGTGTGCAGCTACCCTGAAGAGAAATGAGGCTTGAGTCAGTGGGAAAACTCCAAATTCAGCCCAGAGATGAATCACATGATGCGGAAGCCAGGAGATGCCAAAAACCACTACCACCACCAACACAGTCTGTGCTGTCTGAGACAGGGAAAGGAAAACACAGATGTCTTATGAGTATTAAAAACAAGCTTATTATATCATTATCAGTAATAATAATAATAATAATAATAATAATAATGATAAAAAGTAGACAGATAGAATACACTTCTGAATATTTATTAATATTTTAATTCATTACCTACGTGGACTTTGTTCTGTAGTATTGCAAGAAGAACATGAGCTTCCACAGTAGAAGAGGAACTCTTCTACTCTTTTCTCAAAGGCAAAGAATGATGTTCCTCACTCCCTAAACAAAGTGCTAACCTCTTCTGGGACTCAGGACTGATGCAATAAATTAATAACATAGGTTTCTGGGAAATCTCATCCAGATCTAATGAATCATGTTTTAATACAGTACACAGGATTTCTGACCAGATTTCAAGGGAGATCTATTCTACATGGAGGCATGTAGTGAAAGAGATAAGAGCAATGAGATTAACCCTTTGCTCAAGAGTCTAAAGGCAGGAGCAGAAGTTGCTGTATTTTTTAAAGTCTACTCTTTAAGCATAAAACGTCCTTTGGAATCATCCAACAATATTCTGGTATACAACTAGGAAAAAAAGAAAAAGAAAAAGAAAAAGAACAAGATTTCTGGTAACTATACATTGAATGTAAGGAGTGAAATGACCTTCGTTCTACCTCCTGACTCCACTTTCAGTATTCTCACAAGAAAGGGCCATTAAGTTTGTTAGATCCCCTCTGAGAGTTGGAGTATCAGTCACCAGATCAATCACCTTTCGGTTACTGCAGGTATTTTTCCAGGCACAGTGGAGTTTTTCTGACAATGTTTTCTTTAGTTTTCACTTTCTTCCAAAACTGCAATTACTGCTTTGCAGACACTGAACAAAATGCATTTCTCTAGCAAGTGCCACTTTTCCATTGAGAGCCTAGCAGTAATTCCAATGCATATTATGTTATGGACCATTATAATTACTCTATTAACACTTTACAACATAATTCTTCAGATAATTTTAGCTCTTACTCACAGGCAGAACTAACTGATGGAGTGATATATGCTGCAGCGCAGACTTTTTGCTGATTTATTGATCCTGGTTCATACTTTCTTGAATTGATTGATGCTCAGTAATAATTCACTAACTTGGTTAATTTTCATGTGCCTTAATTTGTAGAAACTTGCAGGGAAAAGTTTAATTTCTGCAGCAATAGCCTGAAATAACTTATGACAAATGTTGTTTCTGGCTACCAAAATTTCTAGTAAATATAATTTTTTCAGTCCCAAGGGTTCAAATTTATTCACAAGCCTTTTTTTCTATTTAACCCTATTAAGATTAATTCAGTTGATGCTAAAGCAGCGAGACAGATTTTTCCTCTTTCAGCTCTCATCAGGAAAGCTGTCTTCCTCGTGCTAACAAGGAAGCATAAATAAAGAACAATTGATTCTCTGATTCCTTTAGTGCATTAATATTCCAGCTGCAAACGTGCTGTCTGGTTATTACATGCATGGTTAATTCTTAAAAGATGTGCTACCTGAGTTTGTCCTTTTTTTTTTTTTTTTTTTTTTTTTTTTTAATTGACACCAGGAAAATCATTGACTTTCAATAGACTGTATAAATGCAACTGAAAGCTGAGGTTGACCATGTATCTCTTGTAACTATTATACTAAGGTATTTCATATCTACAAAGTAAGTAATTTTTCGTAACGGTCCTCACAGCATCTGTTTTATCCCATTATTCATCCTAAGACTCACTTCAGAGCTTACCTTTCCAGTATCATCACTATAATTTGCAACCAAGGTAACACTAAAGGGCAGCTCTTTTTTACGTAATGGTATCACGCCTAGGGTTTTTCATCAGCAAATAAAAAAAACTTGAAATGCATGTTGATGTTTCCTGGCCAAAAAGCATAAAGAACAGCATTTAGGCACATTTATATTTCAAATTCACTTTTTAAATTCACACATTATAAATTAAGATTCTGCTACTAAGAATCAATTTTGTAGGTTTAAGCAAACTTGACTGAGCGATATCCATGGGCTTTGAAGGGATATACCTACAAGAACTCAGGGGCCTGGCAGAAGTGATTGCCAAGCTGCTCTCTATGATCTTTGAAAGATGATGGAGAATGAGAGAGGTTTTTGAGGACTACAAGAAAACCCAATGTCACTGCAGGTTTCAAAAAGGGCTTGATGGAGGACCCAGAAAATTATAGGCCAGTCAACCTCAACTCTGTCCCCAGGAAGATGATGGAACATCTTCTTCTGGATGTCTTCTCCAAAAAAAAGGAAGAGAAAAAGGTTATAAGGATTAACCAGCATGGATTCACCAAGTGAAAATCATGCTAGACTGATCTGGTAGCCTCTAAGAACTTCATGACTGACTGGATAGGTGTGGGGATAGCAGTGCACGTTGTGTACCTTGACTTCAGCAAGGCGTTTGACACTGCCTCCTGTAACATCTTCATAGGTAAACTCAGAAAGTGTGGGGCAGTCAAGTAGATGGTGAGGTGAATTGAGAACTGGCTGACAGGCAGAGCTTAGAGGGTTGTGATCAGCAGTACAGAGTCTAATTGGAGGCCTGTAGATAGTGATGTTTTCCAGGGGTTAGTACTGGGTCTGGTCTTGTTCAACATTTTTATGAGTGACCTGGATGAAGAGAAAGAGTGCATCCTCATCAAGTTTGCTGGTAATACAAAGCTGTGAGGTGTGACTGACTCACCAGAAAGCTGTGCTGCCATTCAGTGAAACCTGGACAGGATGGAAACCAGATAAGGTTCAACAAGGGCAAGTGTAGAGTCCTAAATGTGGGGAGGAATAACCTCCTGCATCAGTATAGGTTAGAGGCTGACCTGCTGGGAAGAAACTCTGTGGAGAAGGACTTGAGTGTCTTGGTGGGCAACAGGTTGGCCATGAGCCAGCAGTGTGCCCTTGTGGCCAAGGAGGAGAATGGTATCCTGGGTGCTTTAAAAAGAGCATAGCTAGCCAGACGAGGAAGGTGATACTCCCCTTATACCCTACCTTAGTGAGGACACATCTGGACTGCTGTGTCAAGTTCTGGGCTCTCCAGTTCAAGAAAAGTGGGAACTTCTAGAGAGAGCCTTGCAGAGGGCTGCAAAAACTATTAGGGGCCTGGAACATTTCCCATTTGAGGAAGGGCTAAGAGAGCTGGGTCTGTTCAGCCTGGAGGAGAGAAGACTAAGGAGGGATCTTATCAATGCTTATAAAAATCTAATGGATAGAAGCCAAGCGGATGGGGCCAGGTTCTTTTCAGTGGTGCCCAGCAATAGGAGAAGGGGCAATGGGCACAAATTGAAACTCTGGAAATTCCATAAGAACATGAGGTAAAACTTCTTTACTCGGAGAGTGACAGAGCATGGAACAGGCTGCCCAGAGAGGTTGTGGAGTCCCCAAAGGTCCCTTCCTACCCATATGATTCTGTGATTCTGTGATACTAAAATTTTATAAAGCTCTGAATAAAGCTGTAGAACTTGGCCTTAAACGCATTATTCTTAACAAAACTGCAAGGAAAAGAGAAACAGTAACCAGAAAGATAAATACTAATGAAAACAGCATTGTTTTGAAATCATGAGCTAAGTAAGGCCTTGGGATCAGAAAGTTCTAAGTCAAAAAATTTTGCACTTCATTTTGTTTGCCTTTCCATTACTAAACCCTGAGACACCTGAATAGTCTTGAACATACATATAATGCTTTCCCCTGAAACTAAGAAAGCAAGTTCATAGCTAGATATGATTTTTATTTGCATAAAGGGCTTGTACCTAGACGAGATGCAGATATTTCTAGTTTGAAAATAACATACATAAAAGCAGGGATGGCAACATAGAGAATGCCTTTTGAAACAACACCTTTGGCCTTGATGAGATTAAGCGCAAATTATTTATGTTAAGTATTTTACTGCATCAAAGACATAATGCTTTTAATTTAGAAATTGAGATCTGATGACTAAGATATATATATTTTTTAAATAGAGAATGCATAAGTAATAGATTATTTATTCCCCGTTGTGCCCATGTATATCTCATTTACATTGCAGACAGTCTGCATGCCCATATGGTAATAGCAATCAGATCAAACAAAGAGCTATAGCCTAAGGCTTGTTTCTGACTCCACATTCGTAAACTGAGAAGTTAGTCAAATTATTACTGTGGTCAAATCTGCTCAAAAATCAGAACCATATTATATTATCTTACAAAATATCTACATAAACACATCTTTCAAATATTGCTCTAAATTGCAAAGCTAATATTGTGCTTCAAAGACCCTTCACAATTCCACTTGTAGGCAGTATATAACTGAAGTCTTGAACATAGAAGAAAAAATATTTTATGGAAAATCATAAAATCACAAAAGTCTCTTTTTAGACTACTATCAGGAATTGTAATGAATCTCATTTGGAAGTCTTGTCATGTAACCTAGGAATCCTTCATAAACTGCTAAAAATATTCAGTTAGTTAGTTAGAAAAGAAAAAAAGAGAGAGAGAGAGAGAAAGAAAGAGAGAGAGAGATGTACAATTTAGAGAAAAAAATTCTAGTGAGGGAAAAGAAACATTTACATTAGAGAGAGGTAGTCTCTCCACGACTGAATTTCACATGCTCCAGTGTTCAAAATATGGGGATTTCAAGTAATGGCTTGACCACTGTGATGGAAAATCCTGATCAGGGAAGACTCTTATCCTGCAGAGGCACTGAATATGTCATCAAATACTCCATTTCAAATATTTTTCTCCATTACGTCTTTGGCAACAAGCAACAGAATAGCAAATCATCTTACCCATAAAACTACAATATAAACAAATAGGAATTGGTAATGAAAGCAATCTACCTTTTTCTTTGATGCTTCTGACTTCTTTGATATATTTCTCAGCTTTTTATGCAGATGATTAAGAACCTGAAAAGATCAATTTGCAACTTGTATTTCACCATTTTCTAAAATTCAAAACCATTTTGTTAGAGTACGATCTCCAGGACTGCATGAGTTGCTTACAAACATTAATGATCCATTTAAACATTTTAGAAATTCATATTATAAAATCCAAAGGAATTACATATCTATATCTGTAGTTAACCAGCAAATAGGAATTACATATCACAATTGAATTCTTCTATCAAAATACAGTTGCATTATATAACAAATACATACTACAATCAAATGAGCCAATAAATTGAAACCTTCCCTACAGCTAGAATTAGCCATTATTCTTTATAAAAATGTCAATGCTTGTTAATTTAGAATGACCTTTACTGCATGTAACATAAGTGTATGTTTTGAGTCAGAGCTTTTCTGAGTCACCTGCATAATTTGCTTTCTTCAGATGGATGTTTAGTTAATATAATCAGGATGTTGGCACTATGTGATCTTTGAAAGATGCTTTGGCTCTTACAGAGAATTTATACTAAGATGTATCTCCCATGAGACATGACCTTTATGTACAATTTGATGATACTTGCCATGTAGCTTTCATAAGTAGTTTTTTAATATACTTCAAAATGATTCATCAAGTGAGAGCAGATTTTCACGTAAGAGTTTGGACAGTGGGTGCATAGAGGAACATCCCTACTTTATCTTCAGTCATTATTAACTGAATGTAAAATATTCATATAGTGTGATTTGTGGGTATACAGGGAAGCAGGGTATATGTTCTTCAGCTGAATGTGTTTAACATGATAAATCATACCAAATTAAAAAATGGAAGTACTTAAGTATATTCAAGGATTTAATTATAATATGGTAAGAATGTGTTTATCTATTTATTAAAACTATTTATATTTTATATATAAATAGTTATTAGTTAATAAATATATAATATAATAATAATATATAATAATATATAATGTATAATAAATATATTCTATTTATATTAAGAATTATTAAAAAGTCAGAATGCAGAGTCTTCAGTTAGATGGCTGTGATGTCACAGTTACACTTTACATACCTCCAAGGTGAACTGACAACTATTAAATTGGTAAGATGATCCAGAATTAAAATAAATATGCATTAAAAAATCTTCTTTTGAAGGAACAAATATATGCTGAAATACCAGCATAATAACATCTGAAATACCAGCCTGGCTGCCACCGGGACAATCTGAACCCAGGAAAGACAGGACAGGAAAACAAATATGTTTTCTCTGAGAAGATCCAGCTTTGGCTGGATGTCAGCCATTATTCCTACTCCAGGATGAAGTAGACCAGATGGAAAATACAGAAGAACCTCTGAAATGCAAGGAGATGCCCCTCTGGTTCACACATCCTTTATTCACCATGTACAACAGTGCTGAATTGGTTAATCCATGGGTGTGAAAATAGAAGATCATGGGAGAAATGCTGTTCACTTCTCATCGCTTCTTTTTCATTTATCCTCCCTCTTCACTGAAACCGACTTCCCTGGGCAGTGGTCACTGCCCAAAGCTGCTGGAGCTCCAGAAGCATTTGGATAACACTCTCAGACATAGGGTCTCTTTTTGGGTGGTACTGTTAGCAGCCAGAAATAGGACTCAATGATCCTTGTGAGTCCCTTCCAATTTGGGCTTTCTATGTTTCTGTGATTCGTGTAACTTAAGTAGATAGGCTTTTTCCACCAGACCTTTGCAGATCCTGTCTCCTGCCACCCTGAACCTGTACTAAACTGTGATTTTCAATGTTAAAGTTAGATGCACTCTTCCAAAAATTCAGAACTGAAAAATCTACTCTTAAAATTATAAACATCAGCTCTCTCATTCTGAAACTTTTGACGCAGCTATTTTGCATTGTAACTTTCTCCAGTCCAAAGAGAGATGGAGTAGACAAATCTATTACTAAAAATTCTGTGTGAGTTGAAGATTTAGATGATAATCTTCCAATTAATCTTTCTCAACTCTCTCTCTTTCAGATTGTGCACATGTGTTATGGAATAAGGATGTGCAGCCTCTGCAGTGAAAACATGCTGGCTCTGCATGGCATTCTACCAGATGGTATGCAAACCAGCGGCAAGAAGCAGGCAGAATTGAATTACTGATCAACAGCTGTGGAACAGTACTCAGAGACCTACACAGAGAGATGCAGAGGGATATTAAGGGCCATGTTTATGCACGAACACTACAAAGCAAATCAAAGTCACCTCTCCTTACCACCCTGTTTGAATTATCTCTTCTCTGGGCCAAGAAATAATTAATTGTTCCTCTAACAGCCACTTCACCTGAATGAATATTAATTCTGCCTATTCCTCTCATTTTGTCTCAGGCTATTCTAAAGAAAATCTCTCACAATATCCACTAATACATTTACATGCATATTTAACTCAGGTAATAAAATATAAGCCTTGATAAAAAAAGTCATAACCTGTTGCTTTTATTAAAGGTTACATTTTTAAACAAGTTCAGGTCTGTGGAAAAATTAGCTTTTCACATGAAATTGCTAACTGGCTTTCATGTACCTGTTGATGAGAGTTCATTTATGGCTCTTGAGAAAGAATATCCTTTCTGTGCTCTGGAGATGGGTTTATGCAAGATGGCAGCTATGCTTCTGTGACATAGGGTGTAAGGAGACTTGAAGGATGACAAAAGTACAAAAATTCCAGGCTAGTCCAATCTGTACAGCCAAAATTATCACTGAGAGCATTTGGATGGGAAGCTTGCTTTTGCCTATAGACTATCACATTTTGCTTGTGGCTGTTTCAGAAAGTACCTTCAGATGGCTTTGTAGCACAGACTGAGACACTATAACCAAAAGAATTTGAAAAATGGATTTTTCAAAAAGGGAGGGGAAAAATAGCTTAAGCTATCTGCACCTACTCATATAAGCCTACCAAATAATACAAAAGTTTGAAATCTGCACTGCTTCAAAGCGTATTTCCTGTCTGTCTGTACATAACTGTTCAACTGACTACACCTTCATTATTTGTTACTTTATCCATTTAAAACCATACAGCAGGAAAGCCTGCCCAAGGTCATTATCTAATAAAAGTGAACTGTTTGTTTAACAGAGCCATAATGTGACCACTACATAATGAACCACATTTTGTATTATTAACCTTATTTAAATTCAAGTGCCTTTACCTGCAATCCATTTTTAAAGCAGTGCAGCTACTTTTATTGTCGCAACAGATCTTTCACCCTCTTTCATTTAATAGTGTCACTAATGTGTCATAACTTTTTGTTTTTCTTTTCAGTGAAGTTCAGTCTTCTCCAATAAAGTTTTCCCTCTCTGCTCAGTAAATTTAAGATACAATATCTGTCGCTAAGAACCATGTAAACGTGCTGTAATGTTGCTCTTTTTTTTTTTTTTTTTTTTTGTATAGCTTATTTTTAACCAACCTTATAAATCATACATGACTTCCTTGAATTCAGAATGTTCAGAATGATAGATAATAATGGAAACATTCTTCAGGCAAGGAATAAATTAAAAAATAGCTTTTAACATTATACATCTATAAAAGGAAAAGTTTGCTAATGATTTTAGGTGTCCAGCCTAGATGTTTGAAAGAGTTCAAGCCTCATAATTGGGTTCTCAACAGCAGGGGTACCCAAAACCCATTGTCACACTCCGCTGCCTGGACAAGTACGAACTGGTAGAAGCCCAATGTGCATGTATTACCTTGCCCCTTAATAACATATTAGTATGTAAATGTATCAATTTATGAAACCCGTACTTGAAGGAACAAAAAAAATACAGCAAGTAAAATATGATAAACTATAAAGGTAAGAATACAGACTGTCTACGTGCAGTGCTGTAACTCAACTAACAACCATATCATGATCACTGCTCTGCCTGAAGTTGTGAGCTCCTTTAAAGAGCAGCTCTGAAGGCTCTCCGGGGCCAACGAAGGCTGACTTTCTGAGGATTTGTGATTTCTTGACCACAAGTTCTCAAGAAGATGACCTCCTCTGTGAGCAGGCACTTCACAAAACCTCTTTCCCATGTGGTATTTCTGGTGTTCAGCAGCTGGGTGCACTCTGACTCTTTAAAGAACAGAGAAGACTGAGACTCTTTGTCTTCTACACTGGCTCCTGTTTTCACAAAACTAAGGAAATATCACGACTTCTCATGTTTTTACTCCTATGCCATATTTAGTTAAAACTGACCCAAAGTTATCTGTGGGAAAGAGGAAACGGAGAGCTCAAAGCACACAGCAGAGCATGAGCTCTGTCTTAAGAGCAGATTATTTGAGATTTCCAGTTCTAGTTCTATGGCATATGCCATTATTTCAGCACTATCTGTGGTTCGTAACAATATTGCTGTCCACTGGGGACAGAACCCCATGAAAATGAATCTCTCCTAACATAATTTAAGAGCAACAGAGAAAGGGAAAGAACTCAGTCCCCTGTTAGAGCATCTAAAAAATGAGACTTTCAAAACTGAAAGTTCAATTGCCATTTGCTTTAAAAGGAAACAACAGAAATGCCTTAAAGGAGCCTGGAAAAGACAGTATATTCAAATAGAGAAATGTGTCTCCTTCATCTCAATTTACTGCATCAGAAAATTGTGTTATTTAGCTGATCCACAGTTCATGAAAACCAGCAAAGTCCATAAGAAACTAATGTGTTTATCTTTGTAATACTTCTGATGCTATTACAGAGCAGTTCTCTTTTAACCCTGCATGCATTGAGAAGCCAAAATATCTGTTGTACATTACACCATTTTAGGGACATCAATAAGAGCCTATTGCGACCCACTTCAGTGGAGACTCAGGAGAGTAGCAGTGGCTGTGACAAAACTTCAGCTCTAATTTTCAACTTCTATTGTTCTTAATTTCTCCCTCACTGTAACCCATATGTCGCAGAATTGCAGTCAGAGATGTGCTCATGGCTCTTAATGAGGGCAGGAACAAGCCTTTGTGCTGCAGGGCTCAACCATCTCCAATAGCTTTCTATGAGCCATGACATTTTTCAGCTTTATTGACACCAGTGGGAATACAACATGTCTCCTGGAATTCATTCTTCAGCTTAACTCTGCAGCATGCAGGGTTGTACATACAGGTTCAAAACAAGCCTCTGCTTGGGCTGAGGCTCAAGCCTGGCAGCAATGTGAGCATGAGATTTTAGCTGTAACTTGGAGTGGATTTGCTTTCATTGACTTGTTCTGGGCATGTACTTCACACAGGGTTGTTGTTTTCTAAATACAGATATTCATATTTACATTGAGGTATCTACTATAATATGAGGGCTTTGCAATATAGCATGTTCCGTTTATTACACTTGCAGTCTTAAAAATGCCCTTTATTGTATACTATGCAGATCTGTCATAAGTTTTCAAGACTTGCTTTCAGTTTTCTGTCATATTTATTTATATATTTATATATATATAAAAATTATATATTTAAGGCCAGTAATTAAGCTGAAATTGAGAATAGTTTGGCTTTTACAAATATAAGAAAGAATTCATAACAGCTGAAATTCTACCTGTAATATTCACTATGTTCTTAAAACTCTAACAATACAAGGCTACAGTAAGTTTCTTTCCTCTCACAGCTGTTACATTCACCACATAGAAGAGGTGCCAGTGTATTTACCCAGGGAAACCGGAATGCAGTTTACATAGAAAAACTTTTTTTTTCTCCATTTGTGAGGCTGGACTTGTTTCACTACCAGCAATAGTTTAAAAACATCATCCTTTGAGTTTTGCATAACTCAAAGTTTAATAGAGTTGGATGCTGTTCCAACCAGAATTTCCACAATTAAACTAACATTATATACATAATACATACAACTGAGCATAAAATTGTGTATAAACATGTTAACTATACCTATTTAATGTGCTAATTAAAGATGTGACTTCGTGACATCTAAGCAGTCCCTATCTGCAAGGGCTGTCCTATCCTCTTGAACCCAAATTACTGCCTAAGGAAAAATCCTGCGACTGGAGGTTGCTGACACAGACTGGAAGGATTTCTGTGCAGCTCAGTGGGTCACAGCCTGTGCTCTGGTTCCTCTTGATACTACATCAAAGGCTGCAATTAACATCTGCAGAAAAACGTGACTGTTTGCCTGAGCAGAAAGCCCTTAAGTACACCCATTCAGACAACAGTACTAATTTCTGTTTCCTACCCAGGTTCTCACTTGTTGCCTCCTAGCATCTGATCTTTCTGAATTCTGAGGTAAATGTCCCTCTGCAGAGCAGGGTGAGGTTCACAATGACCAGGCAACACCATATTCCTTTTGCTCCTAACATGTTAATTGGATCAGAACAAATTTGTAGGGTTTTGCTGTTTTGTTTTCAACACTCTTGCTACACTGCTTTGTTGGAAGCCTGAACAACTTGTTGCTTGGTTGCACTTCATTCGAGTTAAACTCCTCATACAGCACTGCAAGGAAATGAGAGAGTTGTGGTCACAAAGGAAGCAGCAGAGCTCTGGGGCTTCCTGACACTTTGTAAGGAGAGGGGACCTGTAAGTGTATGAAGAACACACAACACCCCCAGCAACTCCATGCAACACTTGACCTGTCTGCACCACACACACACGTCCCCAGCCATCCCTCCACTATAAAACCCATCCCCACAAACTCACTCTTGCCCCCTCACCTCCTAACGCTGCTGGTTCCTAACAATGCCGTGTCTATCTGTGTACTGGACATGTCCAAATCCAGCTCACAGACACCCACCACCACAGTCACCATCGCTTTTTACATTCCCTTCCCCAGCACCTGCCCTGCCCCACCTTGGCATAGCAGAAAGAGATGAGCAGCAGGGGGAGCAGATAACCGAAGACAAACGTGCAGACCACGTACACCTTCTTGTGGCGTGGATTGGGCCAGTGCTCCCAGCAGAAGGTCTGGTCGCTGCCGTTGCGGTGGAAGAGGTGCTGGTGATGAGCCACTGGTGAGGCCATGGCAAAGGAGAGAGCCCAGATGAGCCCAACGCCCAGCAGCGCATTGCGGGGGACGCGCAGGGTGGAGGAGCGCCGCGAGTGCACGATGGCCACATAGCGGTCCACAGACATGGCCGAGAGTGTGAAGATGCTCACCAACATGGAGACGGTGAAGAAGTAATGGATGAACTTGCAGATGAAGGCGCCCAGCACCCAGGTAGGCAGCACATAGACCGTGGATTGGAAGGGGATGCAGAAGAGCAGGTAGGCCAGGTCGGCGATACTCAGGTTGAGGATGAAGATGTTGGTGGTGCTGCGACGCTTGCCTGGCTTGCTGCGAGCCAGCACCGTAATCACCAGCGAGTTGCCCAGCACCCCCAGGGTGAAGATCAAGCCGAAGACGATCAGGGTGATGAAGTTCTCGATGCCGATGCCAAAGAGGGGCTTCCCCTCAGCGTCAGGGAGCCCGGAAGCGTTGAACTCCCCGCGGGGCACCTCTGCCCCCTCCTGGGACCGGTTGAGGGGCTCCCCTGGCTCCATCCTCTCCCGTTGACGCCAAGCAAAGTTTCCGCGGGTGGAAGGCGGAGGCAAAGCCCCGCGATAGGTGGTGGCCGCCCCTGCCAGCGCCGGGCAGGGTGGATGGTTAGAGGGGTGGAAGAGGAGGAGGAGAAAGAGGAGGAGGAGGAAGGCACCGCAGCCACCCAACGTGAGCAGCCGGGTGTGGAGGAGGCTCGGCAGCCCCGGGCAAGCTGCGCGCTCCCTCCGCTCCGCTCCGCTCCGCCTCCGTCAGGCTCACTCCGGCTCCCGTTGCGCCGGCAGATCGGGAAAGAGGGGAGCAGAAGGGTTTCTTTTTTTCCCGATTTAACCGGTAATCGGCTTCGCAGGGCAACCACCTGGGAGAACTTCTTTCTGCCTCTTGTGCCGGCTGGAGCGGCGGCTGGCAGGACTGTGGGAGCGCTGCATCGAACTCGAACAAGTGAAGGGCAGTGGAAGCTCGGACGGATTACTCAGAGCCCGGTCTCTCTGTTTTCACCTCCCTCGCTATTAAATGTTCCGTCATGGGCTGTAGCTCGCAGGGCAAAAAGTGGCAGGCGCTGTTACTTCATACAAGCAAATAAAAGACCACCTTTCACGTACCAATCATGAAGAACGCGTTCCCAAAGCTCCCCGTTGCTCTGCTCTGTGCCCTGTTAGTCAGCGATGAGCTCAGTCGGGCAGCAGCAGGGAGCTCTTCCAAGGACCAAAATTAGAGCGTCTAAACAGTGGTTCTTCTCAGAGCTGGACAGAACTCAGAGCCTCCTGCAGGCTGTGTGTATGAGTTCACGTAAATACTCTCACACACGTGTGCCTTGCCAATAAAGCAGGATTGCTGGAGAGTTCTTGAAACGTTTTCTATCTGTGCGCTACATCTGATGATAGCATTGCTTCGTCTCTCTTCTCAAGGGATGAAACTGCGAATTGTTGCAAATCCCCTCCACCCGTGTGGAGGTAAGGGCTGGGAGAGCCATGTGTTTCTTCAGATAGCTCTTTTCCATGTCCTATGTACTTGAGAGCTCAGTGCCAATTTGCAGCACCTTTCACTCAGGGAGCAGTGGGGACAAAGAGAACTAGTTGTTCAGATGTGTTTCCTTAGGACACAAGCTTTTGTTTGCTTCTCTGTGTTCCACAATTTAATGTGTTGGTTGTTTTTTTTTTTTTTTCCTCACCTTTCCTTTTGCTGCTTGTATTAAGACAACCTTTTGTTAGCTGTGCATCAGCTGACTGTAGAGCCATTGACTTCTGCAGATCTAGATGGGAATTAATCCTACTTATCATCTGGTGCATTATGTCCAAAGCATAACATTATGGGAGAGCACAATTCAGTTTCTATGGATTTCAATGGATTTAGATTGAACTGCTTCCTGTATTCATCATGACTCAGTTTCGAAGTTACAGATAACTAAAAATAAACCACTGGAGATTCCTAAGAGATTTGAGGGTTCCTTTGTTGTTGTTTTTTGTTGTTGTTTTGTTTATAGTGTGCATACCTTACCACTATATTGACATGTTCAGTTACTGCTTGGTCCTACTACTGTGTACTTCTGTAAGGGATTTGAGAACAGGTGTTAAACATTTTTAGAATATACCAGATACAGTGGACTTTTCAGAAATACTCCAAGTATGTGATAAAAAGATTGAAGCATACACAAATTCCTTTAGGGTTACTGACATCTATGTTTATTGCTATAAATTCCGTTATTTGAGATACAAGAAGCTGATGTTTTGCTTTTGAATCACAGAATATCCTGAGTTGGAAGACATCTACAAGTGTCATGGAGTCCATCTTCTGGCTCCATGTGAATCAAACAAAATTCAAACCGTATGCCTGAGAGCAGTGTCCAAACTCTCTTTGAACTCCAGCAACTTGGGGCTGTGCCCAGCCCTGGGCAGCCTGTTCCATGCCCACCACCATCTGGTGCAGCCCCAGCTTCCCCTTCCCTGACACAGCTCCATGCCATTCCCTCGGTTTAATCATGTCGTGTTGCCAGACATCAACCTTTTCTAGGATATCAGGAGTGAAACCTTAGCCTTGCTGAAGCCAGTGCTAATATTGCATTAATTGTAACTCTCCATCTGAAATGTGTTATTAGTCCTCATTGCTCAGGCTTTCTTCTATTTCTCAGGAAATATTTTCCTTTGAATGGTATTGTCTGAATGATGACCAAAGTATATCAGATTGTGGTGTTGGACAAATGAGCAGGGAAAATGGATACAGAAATAAAATCAGTTTTAAAAGAAAGCAACCTGAAAATTGCATTAGTGGGCTGGACTGGAGTGTTGGCTCTACTAGTTTCCTGAGATGTTTTATTGTCATTTTTGCAGCTCGAGCTCTGCTTTACTTTTATGCCTGTATAACACATATAGAAACATACACAGTATTATAAGGCCTCAGCTGAACATGAGGAAAAAGAAAAAAACAGCAAGCCAAACAACAGAGAGCACAACCATGTTGTAGCTTTTCTTTCATAGGAAAGAAGTTGATAGACTCATAGGCTTTTATATCAGTAAAGTTCACGTGTTGACAGAACCCATGACTCCTGTTAAAACTGATGGAAACAAGCAGGTGTTGACATTTCAATCCATCGTTATTATCTAGATGGAGTAAACAGCCAAAAGAACAGAAAGTTCTAAAGGGAAAGTTCTTATGAAGCCAGTACAAATAATTTTATAATCAAATTTAAAAACTATTTGGGCAAGTGGGAGAAGAAAAAATTGGTACAAAACGTACATCACACTACAGGAAAATAATTCCCATCTCTTTACAATGGAGATCTCTTAAGCATGTCATTCATGCATTTCCTTGATTCTAGTTTTATTGAATCTAATCCTGAACACAAAAAGATCTCATTTTGTAAAAAATAGACTAGCTTATGAACTTCAGAAAGAGCAAAGCTTGATGCTTTGGGTAGATAACAGGAAATTAAATGCAATTTTCTCATGCCTGTGGACAGCATCTTCGGTATTCTTTGTCAGCTCCCCAGTTTTTCATAGTAATTAGTAGTAAAAATAATGCAAGGAATCTATAAGGGGGACGGGAACTTAAGTACCTCTTGAAGTCCAGGCTTACATGTTTACTCCTTAATGTATAATCAGGAAGGTAATACTGATAGGAAACATCACAAAAATGTCTTCCTTTCACTCACTTTAGTGATTGGTTTGGAAACGTGGTTTTTCATATGGCTCTGATAATAAAAATATTTGAATTACATTGGTAAATTTTTATGCCAGAAAAGAGAACTCATGATTTAACAATCCAACAAACGGATTTAAAACATTCATTACTGCTATAGTCTACATCACTACGAAAACTACATACATAGAACATATAATCACAGTAATGTCACTAAAGTCCATTTATATTTGAGAATGAATATTTAGCTAGCACCTCTTAAATGTTTAGTTAGCATAGAAAGAATAAGTAGTTAACACACATTTCCTGCTGGGTTTTAGTTACATTCCAGCTTGTCCATTTTAGGACACAATGAGTAAGTGAGGTGCAAAAATGGGAAGCTGATTATTCTTACTGATACACAATTTTCTGTTTTTATATTGTGTATCATAGAATACGATGTAAATAATAGAGCATACAACCTTTTGTCAGAAAATGTGTTTCAGTAAAATCTATTCACTTCCATATAATTATTTTTTTTTTTTTTTAAATTTGCCTGGAGTTGAGCTGGAGTTAAGCTTCAAGCCTCTAAACTGCACAGCAGTGTCGATATTGTTTGCATTCCACTCTACTGTACTCTGCTCCATGATTTGTTTATAGAACACAAAGCTGAAAAAAGGCTGATTTTCAAGACTGACTTTTTTTTTTTCAAATTCTGAAACAAACTCAGAAACAGTAATCACCCCAATCGTACCCCATTACTTCTGTTTACTACAGTTCCTGGAGTAGAAATTCAGCAGAAATGAACTTTAAATATCATTCCAAAGCTGAGCTAAAAGTTCATGATTCAAAAGTCACCTTTGACTCACCAGTTATACAGAAAATTCAAGTACTTACTGGCATTAACTTGCCTTCTCTATGTATTCTTGGGAACAATGTAACCCTGAGGTCACAGATGTCAGTACATTTGAATTTCCGTAGTGGAGATGTGTCAGTAATAAACTGAAGTTTATTGCTCCTGACATTTAGAAGGTAGCAAACATCTGTCCCTATTCATCTGAGATATTGCTGTTCTATCACAGAATTTGTGCTGAATTGTTTTCTCCTGGTTCTCTCTTCTAGTTCTTAAATTGTTCTCAAAGAGCCTTTAGAGTATAGACATTCAAAATCAGGGAATTAACTTTGAAATGATAATTTCTAAAACCCTTTAGTTTTAAAATAAGTATTCGAAATATTCTATTTAAAAATTAAATATTTATCCAGTGGTTTTTTTTTGTTTGTTTGTTTGTTTGTTTGTTTTTCTGTAAAAATGATGAGTACTAAGCAGCATATTCCAGCCACATGCTCTCTTTTTGTAGCTGATGAAGACAGTTCCTTGCTTCATTTTGCTTGATTTGTGACAATTGCTCCATGGGATGCTTCCTAATATAGGAAGCCCAAGTGCCAAAGTGACTTGGTTGGGTGTAAATACACAACTGTGTTTCATCTAAAACAGAGAGGATCAATACCTAGTTTCTCTTGAAGTAACAGTGTACTTTGATGAGCACTTGTAACAGAGCACAACAGAGCAAGTACTGCAGACTTGGAGGAGTGCAGCAGGCACCCTGGCCATGGGCAGAGCATATACAAGAGTCATTTCAGTGGACCCTTCAAGCAGCTGCTTAAGATGGACACCTGACAGGTTTGAAGTAACAGAGGAAGAATAAACAATGCTAAGTTCTGCAAAATCAACTTCATGTCCTCATGTAGGAAATACAGGTTAGAAAAGATACTTCAGTCGTATGGAAAACACCGAAGCTAACTATATTTAAGGAGATAGTAGTGGAAAGAAATCACTTGGAAAGTAAGGCTGCTGCAGCAGCAGCAGTGTTCTGCTGGTAGAGCAACCAAAGGACTGCAGGCTGCTTTGCACAGGGTCAGTTCAGGGCAAAGATGCTAGTAAAAAGAGCAGGACCCCAGGGGATCTTGGACAGCACATCTGCGCTTTGGGCAAAGAGAGAAAACTGGCACGTAGAAGTACATTAACTGAGAGAGAGAGGGTGAGCCTCAGAAAGAGCTCTGGTGTCAGCTGCAGCCTGGCC